TTCAAAATGTTTGCAAAAGGTTTTAATTCCCAAGATCCATGTGAGTAGAGAGTGCAACACTGTACCTTGCAGCCGAGGGAGATGTCCTCTCTTGTCGGGCAGTGTTTGATCATTATGGGCTGAGAGGTTAAGTGTAAAACCATTGAGGGTAATACCTGATGGGCAGATCTTGCATCTGCCCACAGTCCTTGGGTTTTTATAAGGTGGCTTGACCCAATGACCATTTGGTGTAAATGTTGGGCCCATTAAGAGCCCATGATGATGGACTCAGGGGTTCATTGTCTCCTATAGTGAATTCGGCTAGGCCTTGTAACAAAGGCTGGGTTGAACCCATGTGGCTGATGTGTAGATCAATGTTTGGGTCCCATGCAATACAAGGATATCCAACTGGGTAGCTGTTTGGAGGATAAGTGAGCACATAGACTTAATGGGCCTAAAGCCCAATTCGAACTGGTTTGATGAGATTAATTAAAGAGGGGCGGTTCTGGGATTTAGATCAGCAGATAGGATAAGGGATTGTCCCTATCCACTCAGAGAGTCTAGATCCAAATAAAGATTTGGATCAGGAAACTCCTAATTAGATTAGGAGGGCTGATCTTTATCTGCAGATAAGATAAGGGATTATCCTTATCTCTTAAAAAGAGTCCAGATCCAAATACAAGATTTGGATTAGGAGAACCTCTCTTTAAGGCTATAAATAGAGGAGCAGGGCGAACCAACAGTTCATCCTTCAGTCTACTGATTCAAGAGAGAAGATAGCATACAGATGGACTGCCTCTATCTTCTACTCTTGCTCTCTCCTGCTATTGCCGCCATAACCAGTTTGATCTCAACTCTGGGAGCGATCAAGAAAGGGTTTTTGATATCATCTTTTGGCAGAAAAGGTGATCTGAAGTCGTGCTCACTCGCCCTCCATCAGATTCTTGCTAAAGAATCAGGTTCTTGCTGAAGAGCCATCCTGTTGATTCTGTTTCATCCTACATCGTGTCATTTTCGGTGGAAACAGTCTTTGGATTCATCCTTGGGTGTGAACACCTTCATTGGAGGTTACTATTACTTCGTATTAGGTATAACCCTCCACTCCCTTTTTGGTTTCAGATCTAGTCTGGTTTAGGTT